CTCTTCTTGGTTTACTGTTTATTGGTGATTGCTCGTGGATACATATCTTATTTTGGCTCTTTTGTTTAGAGATGACCTAATCTTCTGGAAATTTGTTGCCGGGGTTGTGCTGCTGGGAAGTGTCTAATTCTCGGTCAATCTTCATATTCTGCCACTCTCCCTTGAGCCAAACCAAGTGAAGACATCGAGATGGGTGAACCGAGATTACCCTATCGGCTAGACCAAAGCTTAAGGAGTCAGTTTATTCAGATGGCTGGTTGGCTGGTACGAGATAGATAAGCCGGGCTGCTGTGTCTTAGATGGGGCGAGGAGTTCTTACCTCAAGTGTTTCGGAGCAAACTGGAATACAAACTAAGGTAAAGCTATCCCTTGGATACTTAAAATGGCTACAAAGGCAAAAGATAGAAAATCCATCAGAATAGTACCACAACGTTCCATCGGAAAGAAGCAACACAGGATTTCTTTTTTGCCTGCAGCCTGTTGCCAAGACTGGTGCCATCATCTCCTAGTGGCAGCCTCGTGCATGGCATTTCCGTCTGCAAAATTTGAATTTTCGACATGCGTGGCTTGGTTGACGACTTCTGGTAATCCATTAATTTGCTGAGACTCATTACCTACGATTTTGCTCTGTATCCAAGGCTAAATCATCTTTCTCACATCCCTTCAGATATGCATATATTACTTAGCCAAGTCTTAACCTTTTAAGCATGTGGTGGTCTTGCCATGTTAGCCCCATGCAAAAGTATGGCTTACATCTGGAGGGTAATGAGAAAATACACATCAAAAGGTGCAATACCCAGATGGTTAATGGTCGAATTCTGGGTTTGGCTCACCAAGGCAATGAATTTCCTCATTACTGATTCGGTAGGTAACGTAAAAGGCTCACTCAAGCCATCGTCATAATTGTTGATGTTCCCGTCTTCTGGTTCGCAAGCTCCATCTTCTGGACTGATTAAGCGCAGTGGACAATGCCCACAGAAGAGGGCATATAAGGCTGGGATGACCGCTTTGTAGGCAGTCGATAGCGAACCATCTTGATGTGTTTTCCTGTCTCCCTTGTGTGCCGAATTGCGAGACTGTGATTGGTCGGAATTCTGGCGCGCACTGATTGGCCCAACTTACACCAGGCAGCTTCATGTACCGACCAACTAGCCTGGCGTTTGGGCACCCTGGCTCTCTGGAGGAGACAATTTCGACAAGCTAACCTACCCTTTCACTTAGCCCTATAAAGCATGCTTGGTGATGCTAAGATTGAGTTGCCCAGGGAGCCTAAGCACAAGGGCAAAACCGAGACGGCGCCAGGCGTGAGACTGCAGACAGCCGAGCCTCAGACCGCATCGTTACGCCACTCATTGACCTTCGCACCAACTCACTCAGTCCCTCTTCACCTGCATCGACACCATTCAATGCAGCGCATCTTCTGGAAGTTTGTTGCCGTGGTTGTGCTGCTGGGAAGCGTCTATCTCTCGGTCAAGCACTCCTCAGCCAAGAGTCCCTTCGTCAGCACGGCGGGCCAGGAAGCGACAAGCGTGCCCTTGGGGATCAAAAGCGCAAATTGTCGGCTGCCAGTGTCTCTGGACCCATCTTCAGCCGCCTCTGACCATGACCTCTTCGTCTCCTCCTTCTCGGAAGACCAGGTCTGGCCGTCGGTGAGTATTGGAATCTTGGTGCGCAATAAAGCCCACAGCTTACCCTATTTCCTCGGGGCTCTGGAATCCCTGGACTACCCGAAGTCCCGGATCCACTTGTACATTCGAGCCGACAACTGCCTCGATGACAGCCTCACTGTCCTCCGTAGGTGGGTGGCCGCTGCCGCTGGCGCCTATCACGCCGTCGAGCTTCTCGAAGACAGCAAGACAGCGCAGTTGCAAGGAATACCAGTCGCCTGGACGCCGGAGCACTACGAACATTTGATAGAGTTGCGACAGGCGGCTCTAGACGCGGCGCGGCGAGCCTGGGCCGACTTCCATTTCTCCCTCGACGCTGATGTGATTCTCATGAACAAGAGGACCCTGCGCGACCTGGTGGAGGCCACTTTGGTGCCGCCTCCCGGGGGGAACATCATAGTGCTAGCGCCGATGCTTAACTGTACCACCTCGGAGGTATACTCCAACTTTTGGGGGGCGATGACCGAAGAGGGCTACTACAAACGATCTGACAATTACTTTGACCTCCAGAAGCGAGTCTCTCTGGGCATCCATCCTGTCGCCATGGTCCACTCCGCCCTGCTCGTCAATCTGCGCAACCTAGTCGCCCGCCAAATCAACTACAGTCCAAGGCCAGACACCTACCAGGGTCCCGTGGACGACCTAATTATATTTGCCCGCATCGCTCAGACCGCAGGAATATCGCTTTACCTGGACAATCGTCAGTTCTACGGCTACTTCGCGATGCCGGTTGACGAATCAGACGTGGAGGCGATGCAA